CCTAGATGCTGACAGATGTAGTTAAAGGCTGAAATCCTTGGAAATCTGTTTCATTGAAACCATTGAACAACAGCACTCAGATTCAAATTTGTCAAATTTTGGCTTCATCCTCAACTATCACATTCTCATGAATTGGCTGGATTCCAGTCTAACATAGCAATGAAACTATGCAAGCTGAATTTATCGGCTTTCATGTTTAGAGCATACTGCATGTGAGTTATTTGTACATATGGGTTCGTTCAGGGTCGTTACCTAGTCAGGTTAAAGTCTGATGTAGGCAACATTTGAAGAATTGAATTGATAGATCTGACCACTGATGCATGCAGTGTGGACATAGTAATATTTAAATATGCTTACATGCACAAACTAGTATGATTGATTATTCCATGACCACATAACTTCAATATTGTTAAGATTTTAAAATCATAATTTTGATATCAGTTTTCAAATTGCAGAGCTGAGAATATATTGTACTTACTTAAACATACTCTTACATGATTTGCTGTGATTAGCTTGAGGTCTGAACCATAAAGTAGTCTACAATCCAGCTGCTAGGTTAATTCAAGCATTCACCCTATATAAATCATGTACCTGATATGTATTAAACAGATGGCTACAGAGACAATTTTATATATGGACTTTAAATTTAAGCAAAAGACAGGGCCACAAAATTGAACAGAATTGAGAAATGTCCCATCTACACTGTGTCTCATTCATCACATTTTCAAACAACAGCAAGTGGGCATAGGAGCCCATTGTTATGCCAAAGTGAGCACCAAAATTGTGCTGCACTGCCTGATCTGCATAAACACAACCACAGCTGTGACAATCCTTTCACCACAGAGCTGTGAAACTGACAAACATGCAGGCAAAACTGCAAAAAAAACCTCTTGGATTGCATCTACATTATCCGCTCTTTGCACCTGGAAAAATAAAAAAGCTCAAAAATGTCGATTTAAAGATTTAAATGTAAAATCAAATCCACTGCACAATATATTAAACAACGCGTGACCACAGTTAAAGAGTGCTTTCAGCATTGTCAGTCTGGTTTTCCCTCCTGTTTAAGGTCTTTTCACTAAATTTCATTTTCATTTCAGCAACAGCTGCAATGAGTCCTCCAGCACAACAGGTATAATGCATTAAGCCTAATGATGGCCCCTTATGTGCTCATCCTTTGCTCATATGTCCTAGCCCGTGGTGTGAATGAAAGCATTCCATCAGCATTCAGTATGCAGCTAGATTCACTTTATGTACTAAGTTTTTGATAGTCATCTAAAACCAATGTGGTAACAACTTCTTAGGGGATAAAAAAAATCAGTTTTTGTTATACAGACAATTAACTATATTTCAAAACCTTGCAAATGACACAACATTGTAAGATTAAAAACATTTTTTTCTACTGCAGAAGGAATGTGCTATTAAATGTTAAAAAGTAGCACACACATACAGTGAATGTCTACTACAGGCCACACTAGAGAGCAGAGAAAGGAATCCCAAGAATCAGCAAAAAGATGTTGAAAGCAGGTGTTTCCGTCAGGACATACCAGAGTATAAAGAATGTACTCCACAAGCGTCTTGTCTCCATCTTTCAGGAAGAAAGCTCTGAAGCTGCTGTTTCAAATTTCAAGGCCTTTCCTCTCAGACTAACATCTGTACCAGCCTCATTCATCCATGCCTAAGTGATTTTCTGTGTCTGTCTCCTTCAGTTTCTCTCTTTCTCGCTCTGTATCTTCCCTCCCACCTTGCTTCCTGTCTTCCTTTTTATTGTTTACATCTTTTGACATCACAGTCATGCAATGAACACATTCTTTCCAACCGTTGTGAGTTTCTAAGCACTACATCATTACTACAGACAGAAAGCAACTAGAAGAAAAATTATTTTTGACAATTAACTGTTTCCCTCGACAAGGGTTAGAAAATCTCAGCCTAGAACTGCACCGTATCTCATAGTTTCCAAATCCTAATTCTCATTTAGGTGTATGAACAGGAAACGAACAACAGTGAGATACGTTGCCAGGCTTTAAACGCTTACTGAATGGGCTGGAAACATTTTTTTTTAATGCAGTTCTGAAAGGGAAGCATTCATGAATCCCATTAATTGTTCCATTGCACTGTGTAAATTGAAGTTTCATTTTGTTGCAGCTTTTGGAGATATTTTAAAGGAAGTATAAGAGGAATTAAAGTTAATTAACTCTCTGTGCACAAGTTAATCTTTTCTGGTTCATTATGTGGTGGGGAACGCCATATGTCCTCAATCACGCCATTGGTTTGAGGCCGTCTTCCTGGCACAATATGTAATGGTGATACATTAGAAAAAGGCACAAAATGGTTCTGTTTTTCCTGCTTGTTGTTGTTGTTCAGTTGAACCTTGTGATGTTAACTTTTCTGTAATTTGTTGTCTCCATGGTAGCAACCGTGCACTCAGGTGTAATCAGCAGCTCCTTCGCCCATGGGTGAGAGTATAACATGCAGTACAAAGCACACATATCCTCCCTTTCCATTTCCAGCTGCAGAAAAGCTATACATCCCCCCCTGACTTCCCACACAGTCAAGTGAATCAATGCTTCACATTAACCCCTGACATATCTGCAGAGTCCAGAGACCAAGCAAGTTTTGTCCCTGTAGAACTGCCCACTGCCTATATTATTAGGTTCAATCAGTGTGCAACCAACAGAATAGCAAAGGTTTTACTGTACCATCTCCTGAGGTACAGACATACTGCCAGGTATTTCCCAGAAAAATTACAACAGTGTTTAGATACACTGAACAATGGCTTACACAGCACTGTAAAGCTGATTGATTAAGGTTGCTGCATCAGTGTAAAAAGGTACAAGAGAAGACACCCAAGTGTATGCAGCAGACTACCAGACAATTTGTCTTATTAACAAATGGCTGTAGCATCCTTTAGAACAATGCAGGCTGTCAATGCAAGGACAACTGTGCATTGTGCATTGTTAACTTTGGATGATGGTAAGAACTTGTTGTTTTTTGTCGTCTGGCAATGTGCATTACATGACTGAGACTGATGATCAAAGATTTTTTGGTTTGTTTTCTTTTTCTACACCTCGCTAGAGACTTTAAATCTAAAATCAAATCTGAGATACACTCTATGAATAAAATGAGAATAAAAGCTATTCGTAATTTATGGAACTATATCTTCTTTTAGGCGCACTGCTACGCTCCTGGATATTGTATCATCACACGCTGGCTGAATACTTTGCACAAAAATGTGAGAAGTTATGAATCAGGAACGGTTTGATAACTAATGAATCATTAATGAGTAGCTCCTAAATAACTGTAACTACTCAGCAGATGTTGACTAGAGAACAGAATGTGAGAGATCATGTAGATGAATCATTTGATAATTATTAGTTCATACAGTTCTTTCTGCATAAGCAGTTTCTGACTAACTCTGAACTCGTCACATGCTACAAAACATGGAGGATATGTATATGTCCTTATCAGTCTTCTTTTGTGCACCCTCTGTAACGTGTCACGGTGTGTGCTGAATAGTTTTAAGTGAGTCAAATTCAGTAGCAATGGAGCGTTTAGCGTTTTCCTCCAAATACCAAACACCTGGCAGCGTCTGAAACTGAAATATTCATTAACCTTCTAGATTTTTCGGACATCAATATCCAAACGTCTGCTGCAGTCTGACCATAAATGCCAAGCCTTTTTCTAGATCTTATTCTTACATCATCCATTTGGTATTTAAGTTTAATACCATTTATTGTAGATATGCCCAGAAGCGTTTAAGCCCACTTCTTGTAATGATTAATCAGTGCTGCTTTGCAAAAAATGACTCATTTGTTTCTCACATTGTTGACTGAAAAGCTTTCAGCTATGTAAACACCTAGTTGTTTCTTAATTAACTGTTTGTGTGTGGTCTCGTTCCATATTTTTTTACCTTTGCCTGCACAAGCAAAAGCATGTTTCTGGAGTACAAAAAAGCTTTTTTAAAAACACTTTTTCCTCCATTTCTCAAATTCATAATATGTATATTAGAGTCCTATATGAACACACAGATTTCTGCCAAAGACAGAATAGCAGTTATTTAGATTGAGATATTTCTGTCTGCACTGTTTTGTGCGAGCTCTGCTCCCTCCTTCGAGGTGGGGGAAGAAGATAAGAATGTTACACAATTCTGTGTACCAGTCAGAATTTAGCAATATCCAAATATACACCGGTCATACATCTGATTGTACAGTCCCTTAAACCAGATCCACGCAATCCTGGAAATGTTATATCTGATCTTTTCGCTCTTCTAGTCATGAATATTTGAAAATTGTTGGAAAATATTTTGAATGTAGGTGGCAATACACAATGTCATCACCTCTATTACACTGATCTTCCACATCTACTACATACACTATTCCCCCACTTTCCCTTACTATCGTCCAGCAAAGATTTGTGGATGCACGACTTTGAATAAACACAAAACACCTGGACCTTTGCTTCGTTAGCAGAACCACTGGTTCAGTAGCTGAATCTACTATTAGTATTAAGCCCCACTTTTACAGGTACCAAGAAAACAAGCTTCCTCTGTCTAGAAGCGCCACCTATGAATTACACAGTGCACTGTAATAAATCTAGACACAACCACCTGCAGTCTGAGAGTTAGTTGACATTGTTGCCAGAAAAGATTGTAACTAAATGTATATAACACATCCAGAAAAAAACCTTCACACACACATATATATATAAGTATGAGGACAAATGCACATCACAGCTCACAAACCAGATAAAAAAAACTAGCGCGTGTAAGGCTTCATTATGCTCACACATTTTAATGCATACTGCTGTATAACACAAGAGTCGAGCGATCGCTGTTAAGATAATGGCTCGGTTAGAGACGCCATCACATTTGACTGATGTCTGTAAAACGCTCATAAGGATGAATAAAGAGATGCGCAATTCTGGAAATGACCTATTTTACTCCAAGAGGTAAAAGCAGAGTGCAAGCCTGCTATGGTAACCATAGCAACAGGCAGACCAAGTACCTCGTCCGAAGCAGGGCAAATTGGACGTTCCTCTGCACTTCTTCAAACTGCTTTCCAAAGACAGGGAACAGGACAGAGGATGCTCACACTTATTCCCTGCCCACCCTTCCTTGCAGTCACACCTGCCACAGTTGCATTGGCCATGACCTGCCGAAAGCATAGAGGAAGAGTTGGTGAAAGCAGGGTTTTGTACAGAAAAATATTATAATTTAATAAATGGAAAGCTCCATGGTAGCATCTATTATACTTTGTTCATTAATTCTTTGGAGAATTCATGAAAAGGTCATATTTACCGCTCCCCAGTTTATCGTTAAGTTATATAGGAAGTTTACTTTTATGGCTGAAAAGTTGTACCAAAGCAATAAGAGTAGCATGCAAAGTGCTGTTGGTGTTTGCTAAGTTAATGGGACTGCAGTTTCTTAAAGATGAAGCAGAAATTAGAGTAGCTGTAACTTTGTCACCAGCCCTTCTTTGAAACATTAGTTCAACATTTTGAAAAATAGACTTTTCTTCTTATTATTTATTTAGGTTATCACACTAGCAGTCAGCAAAGCAAAGTAGTCAGACTACAAAACCCTCATCATGTGTTTGAATCTGTTTTTTAACCATACAGAGCTTGCTGACCTGAGCAGAAGTCATCTGTGTAGCGGTCATATGTTGCATGACAGTTCCTCTCGTCGCACTCGCAGGTGTCTCCATGAATATCTCCCCAGTCACCAGAGGGATCAACATCATGGCAGTTACACTCTCCACACACACAGGTCCCTAAAACACACAAACACACATCCTGTAAATTGTGTTTTCTTTCTACACCGGTCATTAATCTTTCAGATTAATCAGGCCAAAAACAGTGAGTAATGTCAAGTTCCAAATCGCTGTTTTCCATGTATGTTGGTGGGGATAGGAGCGCATACGTTTCCTCTTGCTGAAAGGCTATAACTTCCTTTTTTTCCCTTTATCTTTGTATCTGTCCATCCGTCTATCTCGCTTTTTTATTTGTTTCACGTCTGAGCAAGACCGTCAGCTGAGCAGTATCCATTGGAAATCCCATTTTCTCTTATCAGCAGTGACAGAGCATGGGGAACCCCAGGGGAGCAGGCCAGCTGGCAGGCCTGTAGGCTGTAGCTGGTGCGTGTCTGGCCCTTGGCCCTCCGCTTCGTCTCTCTCACTACCTCATAACCCTGGGGTTCTGGATTAATAGACCCATGCACTTTTATGTCTGATACAAATGTCACAGTGGAGCTTCACCAGAGCAGATTACAGCACCTGTAACGGTCACTGATCACAAATGTTTTATAATCACTAAAAATCAGGATGCCATTTGGAAATGTTCCAAATACCTGTTATTTCAGAATTTGAAATGACACATTCACTTGTATATGTTTTCAATGTATTCAGCTTTTGACATCCTGTGGTTGGTTTACTTCCGATATAATCTCTACTGGGAAGACTGTGTAAACCAAACGGATAAAGGGAGGGATCATCTTGTGATTGCTGTCAGTCAATTTGATCATAGAGTATGAGCGCGAGATGAAGGTTACTCATGAACAAAATGCAGGAGAGAGGAATAACATGTCACAATCTCACACAAAACACTTCAAATCTTTACATCTGTACACGATGATGAAATCAAATCGCGCCTCAGTGTAATCGTCAGACTTGATCCATTGCCTATAATCTCCAGGAATTATCTTCACAGTGCTTTTTGGATTAATTCAGAGCGAAATTGTTGCATGTCACATAGGGACAGGACTTGAGAATTGTCCCCATAAAATCCTATACTGAATTGTTCAACTTCTTGGAATTACTTAGCAAGTAAGCCAATCATATGAGAACTTTAAGATGACAAAGCAACAAGGTGATATATACCGGTTTTTAAATTGTGTCGATAGGCCACGTAAAACCAGAGTCATGATAAACAATATATGCGCGGAGTTTTTTCCTCAATAGTTTGATCACGTTTACTGTCTAAGGACAGCGCAGCGAGCACTCTCTGCTTATGAGCAAAGAAAACCCAAAACCAAACAAAAAACAGCCCTTTCGTGTTGGTGGAAAAATGCACCATGTCGACCAATCAAAAATGACATGGCAACGTGACATTTGGTTGTTTAGGAAGAGGGGGAAGTTTTAGGAGTTCAGCATGTTTGGAGTGTGTAGTTAATGTGTTGTCTTGTGTAGTTAGTATGTAGTGTTGTGGATAGTTTTGTGTTGTGTATCAGAATAATGAGGCGACTGCTGTCTCCAGGTAGAAAACAGGAGTGATACACCTGCTGCTGTCAGACCTGCAGGTATCAGGCTGTGATGTTCTCCTTTATAGTAGACAGAAATCTTTGAAGTGGCACAAATAATTTGTGTGGCATCTCATTGAATGCAGAACACCTGATTGTTATGTAAATAGTTTGAAATGATTATAAAAAAATAACTTTGTTGTTTGCAAAACTTGTGCATATGATTTTAAAATTGACAATTTATATTTGCATTTAAAGTTATAAAATATGATTCATTAAACCTGTTTGTGGTTGTTACAGTAAAAAATGTAACTTTTTCTACTCGAATTTTATGTTTTTTGTCTGATTTTAGATCAATTGTGTTAAGACAGTATGTCAAAATGAAAACATAACTGTAAATTCAGACACGTCAGGTTGTGCTGAAAAGAATGATACCACACAAGGCAAAGTAAATAGTTTTTAAAGTTGAAATGTAGAGGAAACATCGAAAGTAGTTAAAAATGGCCAATTATACCCTAGGGCAGCGGTCCCCAACCTTTTTTGCGCCACGGACCGGTTTATGCTCGACAATATTTTCACGGACCGGCCTTTAAGGTGTCGTGGATAAATACAACAAAATAAAACTAGTACCGGTGCTGAAAAAAAGAAGATTTATTCATAACACATGTGAAAAGACCCAGGAAAACCGAGTTAACGATAAAAACGATAACAAAATAACGCTGAAAACCGATAAAAACCCTGAAAACCATACATTTCACACCTGAGCCTCAACTCTCGCGGCCCGGTACCAAACGACTCACGGACCGGTACCGGTCCGAGGCCCGGGGATTGGGGACCGCTGCTCTAGACCAGCGGTCCCCAACCGGTCCGTGGCGCAAAAAAGGTTGGGGACCGCTGCCATAGGGTATAATTGGCCATTTTTAACTACTTTCGATGTTTCCTCTACATTTCAACTTTAAAAACTATTTACTTTGCCTTGTGTGGTATCGGTTTTCAGCATTATTTTGTTATCATTTTTATCGTTAACTCGGTTTTCCTGGGTCTTTTCACGTGTGTTATGAATAAATCTTCTTTTTTTCGTACGGTACTAGTTTTATTTTGTTGTATTTATCCGCGACACCTTAAAGGCCGGTCCGTGAAAATATTGTCGGGCATAAACCGGTCCGTGGCGCAAAAAAGGTGGGACTGCTGCAATGAGTAGGTTAACAATTTTTGACAAGTCCCACGCAAACATACTTTTCAAGTAATTAATACTTTTAGAATATTGTAACTCAGTTACTAACTCGGTTACTTTTTGAAGAAGTAACTAGTAATATAATTAATTACTTTTTCAAGTAACTTGCCCAACACTGTACACATATATACAGGGAGTGCAGAATTATTAGGCAAGTTGTATTTTTGAGGAATAATTTTATTATTGAACAACAACCATGTTCTCAATGAACCCAAAAAACTCATTAATATCAAAGCTGAATGTTTTTGGAAGTAGTTTTTAGTTTGCTATTTTAGGGGGATATCTGTGTGTGCAGGTGACTATTACTGTGCATAATTATTAGGCAACTTAACAAAAAACAAATATATACCCATTTCAATTATTTATTTTTACCAGTGAAACCAATATAACATCTCCACATTCACAAATATACATTTCTGACATTCAAAAACAAAACAAAAACAAATCAGCGACCAATATAGCCACCTTTCTTTGCAAGGACACTCAAAAGCCTGCCATCCATGGATTCTGTCAGTGTTTTGATCTGTTCACCATCAACATTGCGTGCAGCAGCAACCACAGCCTCCCAGACACTGTTCAGAGAGGTGTACTGTTTTCCCTCCTTGTAAATCTCACATTTGATGATGGACCACAGGTTCTCAATGGGGTTCAGATCAGGTGAACAAGGAGGCCATGTCATTAGTTTTTCTTCTTTTATACCCTTTCTTGCCAGCCACGCTGTGGAGTACTTGGACGCGTGTGATGGAGCATTGTCCTGCATGAAAATCATGTTTTTCTTGAAGGATGCAGACTTCTTCCTGTACCACTGCTTGAAGAAGGTGTCTTCCAGAAACTGGCAGTAGGACTGGGAGTTGAGCTTGACTCCATCCTCAACCCGAAAAGGCCCCACAAGCTCATCTTTGATGATACCAGCCCAAACCAGTACTCCACCTCCACCTGCTGGCGTCTGAGTCGGACTGGAGCTCTCTGCCCTTTACCAATCCAGCCACGGGCCCATCCATCTGGCCCATCAAGACTCACTCTCATTTCATCAGTCCATAAAACCTTAGAAAAACCAGTCTTGAGATATTTCTTGGCCCAGTCTTGACGTTTCAGCTTGTGTGTCTTGTTCAGTGGTGGTCGTCTTTCAGCCTTTCTTACCTTGGCCATGTCTCTGAGTATTGCACACCTTGTGCTTTTGGGCACTCCAGTGATGTTGCAGCTCTGAAATATGGCCAAACTGGTGGCAAGTGGCATCTTGGCAGCTGCACGCTTGACTTTTCTCAGTTCATGGGCAGTTATTTTGCGCCTTGGTTTTTCCACACGCTTCTTGCGACCCTGTTGACTATTTTGAATGAAACGCTTGATTGTTCGATGATCACGCTTCAGAAGCTTTGCAATTTTGAGACTGCTGCATCCCTCTGCAAGATATCTCACTATTTTTGACTTTTCTGAGCCTGTCAAGTCCTTCTTTTGACCCATTTTGCCAAAGGAAAGGACGTTGCCTAATAATTATGCACACCTGATATAGGGTGTTGATGTCATTAGACCACACCCCTTCTCATTACAGAGATGCACATCACCTAATATGCTTAATTGGTAGTAGGCTTTCGAGCCTATACAGCTTGGAGTAAGACAACATGCATGAAGAGGATGATGTGGACAAAATACTCATTTGCCTAATAATTCTGCACTCCCTGTACTTGAAATGTACCCATATGTAGTGCTGTTATTTCCACGTCTGTTAAAGTAAAACTTAAGTAAACCAGGTTGGAGTAGCTTTCAAGGACATAATCTTTTATTTTAAATGACATTTCTAAGACTCTGGATTTATAGTAGTTTAAAGTCATAAGCAATTTGATGAAAATGTGACAAATTTGCTGGTAATGTATAGTAATTCAAATCTTTAACATCATATTAACATCCTGTGCCATTTGTTATTATATGTTGAAGTATGGCTAAAGAAATTAAAGCAAGATAATAGAATAACAGGCTGAAGAAAGGAGTTGATAAGAAGTCTCATTGAGATTAAAAATCTCTTTTTCAAGAGAGATCAGGACAAGAGGGCCCCTGTTACGTGCTACTGCTGTTTCATTAGCACAGTGGCTGCTCCACTACAAGGCAGTTGTTCATGCTATGTCAGTTGTGCACTAGACCATAATTTTGCAGCTCTGTGATGAGACTCTGTCCATGTAGCCTACCATTTCACCCTACCACTTAGCCAGCCCTCAGCCAGTTCACTGTAATTAATTTTTGAGAGACTTACTGAAATCCCACAGGATCACTTGAGCTAGGTTAGTGAAGCTGTTTTGCTGACTGCTTGTCCTCCAAGCAATGAGTTTGAACTCATGACTCACGACAACGACTGCAATCAACTTGTAGTAACATCTGACAGATGATCAGAGGAAACAGGGTAACCCGAGCTCAATTATGAGTGTCACTGAAAAGGCTATGAAAACTTGCGTACATTGCGTTAATTAAATTGCATGAAATTAAATGAACGAATTTCAAGCAATCTTTGTTCACTTTGTCATTATCAAGGACTGTGTAGAATTTTTTTAAGGTGAAAAATTAATTTAATACATTTTGGAATAAAGCTGTAACAGGACCAAATGTGGAACAAGTGAAGCAATGTGAATATTTTCAGAATGCCATGTAAGCTGTTTGTCATTTTCAGATATTATTTACTAATAGGATTGGTACTAAATGATAAAGATTCCTTTCATGGCACAAGCATTCGGGGAGAAAAAATAGACTGGAAGACATTACCGAAAACATCAAAGAAGAACAGAACAAAAACAAATGTATAAATTGTTTGATTGCTTGTAGCACAGAGTGTTTGTTTCCCTCTTTATAATGCAGCAAACAGACAGGAAATGAATTTGACCCCATTTAGAATGTTTGCTTCCTGTTCCCTAGCAACACACTTCTACTGAAATAGATATTATCAGAGCCCTCGAATAGTGAGAGCCTCATCAGCCGGGGTTCAGAATACAGGATCATCATGTAGTTCATGTAGACTTTAGATAGTTCCCAGAGTACCTTGCAGAGATCTTTCTTTGGTAATTAGTAGTCAAAATGCATTGAGCTACAGTAGTTCTTATACCACAGTAAAGTGTTTTATAGTTAATCTTTGTATATATGTTTTTAAGGGTACGTGTCTATGCTTATGAAACACATTGCTCCTTTAACAGTTTAACGATTAAATATTCAAATGCAAAACAAATATATTGACCACTTTCTGTGTGAGACACAAACCATCCTGCATGCAGATAAATCTGCTATGAAATTAGATTTACAACAGATTTCAGATTTCAGGCATGTTTTAACAGGCATTGTAAGATACTTCTTATTTTAGGAGGCTTAAGTGGTATTAATACATATTTGTGTGTTTAACATAAACACACATTTCAGTTTTTTGGTTGGTTTAATTAAAAAAAAACAACCTTAGATTATATGGATTAAAACAACAATGACAAATAAATGTAATGTAAAGCAATGATATTCAAGCACTACATTTAAACTTTTTTCTGACAGTTACTACACCATGGTGAGCACATGTTTGCTTTATTAAAAATAAGAAAAAAGTAAAGCTTGAAACACTCAAGGAAATGAGTCTCCCAGTCAGGGTGCTGTCTCACTGTGTGACAGTCTTCAGGCTGAATTGTACTGTGGTTCTACTGCTGAGAGATAGATTGAAGAGAGAAAAAGACAAAATGTTGGACAAGCCTCTAAGTGCATTAGGAGAAAACATTTTTCATAGCTGGCATTTTATTTTAAACTCACCTTGTGTTTTCAGTCTCATTTTAGTCCCTCTGCTCTTTTCATCAACTGAGCTGTAATATAATACAGACAGTAACAGTTAAAAAGACCATAAAACTTATGAAACAATATTTACGAGACTTCTCAAATCTGTTCTCTGCCTCTTCATAGCAATATATCACAAAAATAGCTGTTTCGCTGATTGTTGTACAATTACTGTTTTACCATAGTAGGTTATACCCACAGTGGATATATTTATTTAATTAGACCAAACCGCTGTGTGTTACAGTATAATGTTATATTTAGCTAGAAAACTCACACTTTGAAGTCTTTAAAAAAACAAAACATAATGTCGATTGAAACAACATCCTGGTTTCTGGTTAATATTACATGCTTGCTAGCTTAATCTGGCATCATTTAACATGTTAAAAATTGGATAATAATGATAATAACATGGTTTATTGGTCGATGTAATTTGATTTATGCATGCCAGAAACACAGAGTCTTGTTTCTTTAAGTATCTTACCTTTAAAAATGAATTCCAAACTTCTACGCTGCTATTTCTGATGACGCGATAGGCACATGTTGCAAATTGAATTAGTGGTAGATCTAAATTCTTTAAGCCCCTATAAAATGATCAGTGGGGCTATTCAGGTCTTACAGAAATGTTTAACATCCAGACATCCATGAAAAAAGAACCACAAGGTTTAGTGGAATAAAGTTACAAGAACGTTAGCTTGCAAGTTTCTATTCGAAGATGATATACCTGAAATACCTGCTTTAGGTATTTCTAAAAAACAACATTGTACAGCTCTGCTATAGCGATGGACAGCAGAGTAAATAGCTGAGACATTTGTGGAGCTAGTGAAATCGCTGACATATAATTATGTGCCACCTGGTGGTGAGCTACAGAGCTATAATTAGGCTAATAGAAATTCTTCAAAGTTCATCTTGAGGGTTCCTGATAGACAAAGAAAAATATCATCAAATAATCATCAACTAAAACACAAAATGGGGGTGTCTTTTGAGTTTTTTTCCCTTCTGACTTTAAGTTTTCTGACTTCTGATTTTTGTTTCTGCATTTTGAGAATAAAGACAGAATTCTGTCCTTGGTGCATGATCTGAAAATGTAACCAGCATAATACTCTTCAGTCCAGCATTTTGTGGCTTTCTAATCAGCGACAGCAAACATATGTGTATGTTTATATTTCTTATGTATAACTGTGTACATGACCTGTGTATATTATGATAATACTTTCATTTCAAATTTGTGATTACAGTTTAATAAATATAAAAAACAAAAATCAAACACGATGTTCCAGGTAAACAGACCTCTGTTGCTGCAGATTTTGCCATCTGGAGATGTGCATCTCTGCCTGCTTTCCCATGGGCTCATGTCACACTGGAACTCACATTTGTCTCCATGCCAACCAGCAGCACAGTAACAGTTTCCACAGTAACATTGGCCATGCCCTGGAAGCAGATCACAGAGGAACAGCTGATGAGATTTCCTCCAAAATGTATTTTGACAAATGGTGATTACTGTCCTGGTGATTAAGTCATATTTTTGGTAATCCAAACTCTACTTTTTCCTTTAAAAAAAAGAAGTGAGTATTAAATTAAAAAAAAAAAAAGCAGCATATGTAAGTTGTAATTGTATATAGTTAATGCATGAGTTTTTTTAAGGAAACCAAATGAGCAAAGGCAATGCATTTCTATTCTTTTATCACAGTAAAACACAATATGTGTTACAGTAGTTGGGTTTTTTTGTACCAAATCCAGCATTGGTTATACAAAGATGCATTCTATGTTTAGGGGGAGAGTAAAGGGCTGTGTCAGCAAATGCAGGGCACACCTCCGCAAATCTCTCCAGTTTCCTCATCCAGGCACTCGCTGTCATCACACTCACAGAAACGTCCTGTTACCATGCCTCTGTTGTCTTCATTGTCACACATGCAGCTACCGCAGTGGCAGGTTCCTATGGGAAACACAAACTTTAGACACAGTTTGTTGGAAAATGTCAGATTTCAATAAAGAGCAATTCAACACCTAGAATCTAGCGCTGTTAACTGGAAGCACTGTCTGTACATCAATAGTTCTAAATTGTTGTCTGACTGTGTGTGCGTGCAGTAACTCGCACCGTTCCCTTTTGTAATTATGTGCTAAAGAAGCAGAAGGCTAGACAGGCACATGCTGTGAATACATTTGCATTTCTATACAGGCCACATACGATACAATACACACACACACATATACATTCACTACACCAACAAACATGAACGCATCACAGACACATAAACATATCTATAGCCTTCATTTAGCTGGAGTCATTGCACACTAGTGAGATCCCCAGTAGATGAAGGGCTGGCTGTCAGACTCACCTCACAGTGTGTGCCTTCAGCGTGTCAGTGCATAATACTATGTTAGTCACACAGACTGTGTGAATCAAAGGTACTTCAGTATTTACTTAGACTATTGTTAATTCAAAATGTCTTCCAGTATTTACATATATTTGTATGCGTAGGTGGGATTTTTGTTTGAACTCATGTGTGTATGTGTGACTGTGTTTAGATATCTTTGTGGGGGCTAAAAGTTGAACGTTTTCTATGCTTGTGGGGACCAACAGCCCTTATGTGGACAAAATCCCAGTCCCCACGTGTTTGAAGGCATTTTTCAGACTCAAAATGTGGTTTTAGTGTCAGGATTACAATTAGGTTACGGTTAGGATTAGGCATTCATTTTTGATGGTTAAGGGTTAGGGTAAACGGCTAGGGAAAGCATTATGTCAATTAAATGTCCCCGCAAAGATATGAAAACACAGCGAGGGATTAATTGTAATTAACGCGTTTATTATGGTAACTCCTTGTTTATGTTTTTGCTTGTAGTAAATTGATATCACAGAAAAATTCATATAAACTGGTCGATTATTTAAAAAAGAGTTTTGAATTATTATTTTTTTAAATATTTGCTCATCACTTTGTAATAAAAAATTCGATGTGCCGAACTGATTACCCCCTCACTCTGTCTATTAATGGCTTGGTACTAGGCTATGTTTAGGCGATATTATTAAAATATTAGCAGAGCATGCCGAATTGTCTTAAGAATTGCTGTTGGTAATATGTGAGGGTGCAACGCTTTGATAAGTGTTTGCTTCAAAATTTATGTTATATGTAACTGACTCATTGTGCGTGTGTTTGTACAATAGCTGTACCTCTGTTGGAGCAGACCACCCCCTGTTGGTTTTTGCAAAGCTCTCTGCTCTTCTTGCTGGATAGGTTACACTCTTCCTGAAACTGGCAGGCATCACCGAACCAACCTTCATCACACTCGCACACTCCACAGTCACAGTAGCCTTGGTCTAAAGGGAAACACAATGCATCATATGCTGTTTACCACTGCTAACATCATGTACATGACCAGTATTTCACATCACTCTGTAAACACAAGGGCACATGTGTTATTTCTTAAAGGTACAGTGTATAAAATTTCACAGCTTAAAGTCAGTAGATTGCAGATTACAGTCAAATGAATTCTATTTTCTTACCCCTATCGATTCAGGTTTTACCCCTTGCTACAGTAGCTGCAGTAGGATAAACAACTCTGGTCGCCGTTCATCTGTAATGTGTGCAGATTGTTCACATCTATTTACGCACAAAATTTGTGAATGGAATTCGCGACAAGTACTTCTGTCTGATGACAGTGATACTGAGGTGACCTGTTTAGAATATCCTGAGCTTTTCTGTCAGAAACCGCTGCTGTTTTTGCTACCATTAGCAGCTGTTAGCTAGCATTAATGAAACTTTCTTTGACGTGGATCTGACGTTGTGTAACTCTCATGCCACGTGATATTTTAATCAAAAATAAGTAACTGTGACAATATTAGGAATAAAGAAGCATGCTTATGTTTGTGTTTTAGAGCCCTGACTACAGCTCAGGAGATAAAGCTTCAGGGGAGGAACGTCCCCTGAAGCAGAGGAGGATTAGATGGAAATGATGGAGAGGGCAGTCGTGGAGGAGGAGAAAGACATAATAAGAAAGAGATGATGAAAGCATACAGGTACAAATGTTAAATGGTGAACTATAGTTGAAAGAGCCATTTGTAGTCTTTAGATTCAAAGTATCTTAATTAAAGGGTGTACTATGTGCGTGGCTGGTCTCTAGCTACACACATAAACGTGATTAGACAGAACTGTAGTCCATCACCAGATCACCAGAACATTAGTGCTCATTTGCCTGTTGTTGACTAAACTTCAACAAGACCCTCTGCTCCCAAATAACTTAAGCTGTGTAAATGTGCATAGTAAGAAGGCAGACAGGCACCGATATATTTCTATAATATTTCTAATTTTTGTTTGTGCTATATACCAATAACCCAAGCATTGTGATATACTGGTTCCTATATCAATCACACTGCCAGAACATTACCATGTTCAGTGTTTGAAGGACCTACGCAGGCAGTCTGGCATCACTGTTTCTCATCATTCTGATGGTCACAGTGAGCAATATGAAAACAGGAGGAAACACATGATGCAAATGAGGACTGTTGACAAGTTATTATAAATGTTGCTCTCATTGCGTTTAGCAGCAAGGGGCCTTCTATGTCACACTCAATCATTCGCCTGAATCGTTCATCATGTAAATGTGGTGTCCTTTTCAAGGGCTATCCATCAGTCATTAGTAACGCACAAGTCCCCTGTCTCTCCACATTATCGATACGTCTCAGGGGACACTAGGCAACAGGTTGGAGGAAGAGAAAAATTCGTAACATGCACATCGAAGAGAACTAAACCACAGAGACAACAGAATTCCAAGGAACGTCCAGCTTTTATAAACCGCTAACAAATTTGGATTGTAACATTTATGCTGTTAAATTAAGCCCTTTGTTTGTGTACAAATATAAAGAAATATATGGTTCACGACATTATAAAGTCTTGTATAGCTGTAAGAAGACTGACTTATTTTGCTTTTTGTCTGTGGAAAACACTTTGCCTGTTTTAACTGCCAAGGTGTCAAATACCACCCTGTTGTTAATTTCGGTGTTTCAGATATGCACATGGTTTCCTTTAACATTGATCCTGTAACACCTGTAACACAAGCAAAACCTTTCATTCCCTAAGTTGCGATGTTTAAACCCTAAAAATGATATTTATCCAAAACTAACAGTGATTTTTTTTAACTAAATGTGTGAAATTAAATAGTGATGGAAGCGGAACACAAACTGCTGTCTCCAGGCTCACAATCTAGTGAAGTATGCCATACCACCTACTTATGTACTGTAAAATAAGATTCATAAGCATCAATTACAATTTTATAATGACGACTAAATAATAATTATTGACTCACCGCGCTGTGTTCGTTTAAGCGTTGGCAATTTTACTGTAAGAATTAAAATGATGATATTTTGTGATTTGTCCACAGTAAATCAGCTGTCACATACGTATCGCCTAATGATTTATTAGTGAAAGTTATTCTAAAGTGTTATCTACAATAATTAGTGATTCTTGAATTGCTATTGCATTAAAAAATGCTGTCTTACAGTCTCGTTTAATGTGATTTTACTGATTTGTGTACATTTGGCGCATATTCATGAAGAACTATACGCATACTGTAATTGTAGAGACTCTTTTTTTCTGGATTTATCACATACTTTTTGCATATGGGAACTGGAGCACAATAGTTATAAGACAGAATTAGATTAAACACCTTCCAGCTTAATTCTGTAGACTATTACAAAGTTAATGCCACCCACTAGCCCCCGTTAATCTCCCCCTCGACAATCACTCTGACATATAAAACGTCCCTCTTTGTCTGGTAGGCCAAAATTTATGTGGGTGGGAAGGTGCCTGTCTGTCGACAGTTTATCTTTTCTAGTGCTTCCTGAGCAGTAATTCTCTGTGGTATGAGGGTGTCAGGGTCCCTCCTACGCTTCACAGACAGACACACATACTCAGCCAATAAGGTCCCGATCAGTGCACAGGTATATCCAATGAGGCTTGCAAAGTGTGGGTGCACCTCTTCCACCATCAATGGCAGTAATAACAGGTGATATAGTGCTGGCATAATTAATTGCTGATGAGGATAGGATGGTGACTCATGCAGCAAGCTCATTTCAGGTTTAGGATTTAACTTGTTCATGCATAATGATAGGTCTGCTTTTTTTCAAGTATTTCAAGTTAGATTAGTAGAAAACAGATCTTTTACAATTCATGCTTTTCATGCAGTTTCAATTATACGCAAAACTGTAATCCTAGCCAAACATTACATGCAAGAATTGACTTTCTCTGGGTTCATTTTTTACATACATGTTTTTTTCTCCAATTAGCATTTGCTCACATCCTTTGTTTCTATTGTGTTCTTCAGTACATGCTAGTGATTTCACCGAGTAATTATTCCACCTTGCTTTTCTCTCCCTGTGGCCTGTGGCGCATGAAACGACAGCACGTCAACTTGTGTTTTGTGGAACAGTTCCAGGAGACACCTGTCTCAGGTAATAACTAATTATGTGTGAGTGCAGTACTTGGAGCAAGGAACTGCTTCCTGCTTTCATCCCTTTACACTACCCAACCTGATCATTCATTGAAAATATTGCCAACTTCATAATACCTTTGTTAAAGAATTTTTGAAAACCCAATGTAAGCAGGATCACAGCAACCGAGAAAAACACTTGTTCTGACAGCGTGAAGTGCTGGGAATCTTAATGGGTCCCAATCATAACTGACTTTTACTAGGAAACTTGGACAGGCTTAAGTGGCTTTTTCTTCCTGCAGCCCAGGCTGGAATCATTAGGTGACTCACAACACAGGCACAGTGCCCAGCAAAGCTCAGAATATCTTAGTGAAAGCGCATCAAAATATGTACTAGGAAAAAAAATACAGGGATGAACAATTTAATGGACTCTAAGGACTGCGATCCACTCTAGCCCGTTGTTTTGTTTTTTCTCTTTCTCTGGGAAATCAACAGAAAAAAACCTAATAACTTTATTAGGCACACCTTGCTAAGACAGCTTTGGAACCCCTTTTACCTTCACGACAATGTGCTCGAAACATTTCTGAGAGATCTGGGTATTGACGTGATAGCATCACATAGTTGTTATAGATCGTTTCCATGATACCAATTATCCCAGCTCACCAAATCCTAAAGGTGCTCCATTGGATTGAAATCTGATGACCGCAGAGGCCCTTTAAGTACAGTGGACTCATTGTAATGTTCAAGAAACCAGTCTGAGATGATGAGTAAACTCATACAGGGATCGTTATGATCAGCAACAATGTTCAAATAAGCCATGGTGTTGATTTGGAACCTGTATCAAGGAATTATCCCCCACGCCAACACACCACGAGCAGCTTGAAATGCTGATTCAAGGCAGGTTGGATTCATGTTTTCATGTTATTTATGCCAAATACTCACCCTACCATCCAAAAGTCACAGCATCAGAGACAGATTTGAAGTTTGTTTTTTTTTAAACCTAGCTAGCATCAGATGGTATAGGCAGACAACTGACATGATTGTTCAGTTGGGCTTAAGCAACTATTACAGTTTATACTGCTCCCTGAAATGTGCCTGTATTGGAAGACACACAAGCTTATGTGCTACTGACAGTGAAAGTTTATCTAAAGGTGTGTGATTTGGAGCAGTACTGTCTAAACCGATACCATATGTGGCGCTGACATTAAAACTCCTTGGGTGGGATATTCTCTGGCTCTGATAGGGGGCAAAAGGGCGCAGTGCAGAGTGAAAGAACAGAGGCTTTTAAAATCCAAGGCCTGAGAGACAGTGAAAGGAAGAAAAAAGAAAGGTGGGGAGTCAAAATGTGTTTTGACATCCACTGGGGGAAACAGGCTTTTAATCTTATGCTTACACCTCTGAATTTTAGCTCCTTTGAAATAGGGTGAGAATGACACGCATATGATAAAGTCTGCCAGAGTCACAAAGTTATAAATTGATCTGACTGCAGATGTAGTTGGCTCTCTGCCTTAGTCCACATTAGTGGCCTGTAGTTGTTGCCAGAGGTATATGAGTAATGATTTTGTCTGTTGTTGCAGTAAGTCCACTTGAATCAAGAATATTTGATGATGACAAATCCAAATAAATGAGTCATTATGCTTTAATTAAGATGCAGTAGGTCCCATCCTGATGTAATAGTTTAACACTACTTAACATTTCATCTCCTTCTTCTTCTTTTAGCTGCTCCCTTTAAGGGTCACAGCAGTGGTTCATTTACTTCATCTCATCCTATTCCTCTGCTGTCACTCCAATTCTCTGCATGTCCTCGTTAACTACATCTGTGAACCTTCTCTGAGGTTTACCTTCTTCATGCCTGGGAGCCTCAGCTTCAAGATTCTTTATCCAACATATCCG